TCATGTGTGATAACTTTAATTCAGATGACAAAAGCTCTAGGCTGTTTGCAATTTTGATGATTGATGATTGATATTCAGAACCATAAAAACTTTTACTATTTTTTTGTTTACGGAGGGAACTTCAATCATTGTTTCTAATTACAAATAAAATATTTTATTAAGAGCATGACAGATAATTGCTTATATTTTTAAAAGTGGTTTCGTAGAAACTACAAGAAATGTAAAAGTCAAGAAAATTTTAGGAATGAATTCATCTTTATAACATAATATTCTCTAGTAAGCATAAATATATAATAAACACTCAACTCTGAAATAATTCTTTACAACTTTGGTGAAATTAATATAGAGCAGTTGCTTATGCAGTTACATTAGTTCAAATGACTAATCTTAGTTAAGTAAATAGTGTCAGATTGTTTGATGCTCCATATTTTCCTTTTTACTCTGTGCTTCAATATGTTTAATTTCTTTAACAATGCTTTAATATTTATCTGATTAATAAATAAATCATACTTATCATTGTATTACTTGTGATTTTTTTCATGTAATCTCAGAAAACCTAAAAATTATTATAAATAAAATATAAATCTTTACCTTAAAGTAGAAATAGCAAACAAAGATATTTTTAAATTTCTTCAATAGTTTACTTTTAGATTTCCAGCTAGTATAGTCTCACTGTAAACAGTTTTCTCTGAACCTTATTTTGTCCTCTTCTTAGAAATAAGGAATTCCTTCTTTTTCCTGAGTTACAATACTTCAAATCTGTCATCCCAAAGATGATTGCAATCTCTAGAAATGATCTCTTCTTTATATCAGTGCATTTGATTATATTTTTTTTTTCTGAGCCATCTGTAGAAAAGAGGACAGTTTTTCAAAACCTCAGCGAGCTGACTACCTAGGACAGCATATCCAGCTTAAAGCATGGGCACCGCAGTCTCTGCATATTCCTGACATAGGTGCTTACATGAACATGTGAAACTCAGAGAGGGGACAAGGCAGCAGGAAAAACAGTGAAGTATGTAACAGCTAAGGCAAGATGTAGCATTCTTATTTTGGGACACAAATTTAGGATATGATATTGAACATGATATGAAATATCAACAAATTAATTTGTTCAGGGCTCATAATCATTCACATGCATAAATGTTGCTATGACAGCATTACAAATACTATGAGAACACAGGAAGACTGTTGGAGAAGTTACACATGAAATTTCAAATTTTAGCTGTTTCTATTTGCCATCCACATGCAGGAATAACTCCAAGTTTGTTATTAATTTTTGTTTATTTTTACTGAAATAAAAGTTAATGTTCTTTTCTTTTCTTATATAAAAAGCACCTCAGGTCACAATGAGTATGCTGAAATGCTACACAGTCATTTTAACTTGAATATATATATATATGTATATATATATATATATATATATATGAAATTATGTGAACATACTAAGTTCAGATCACAATTATATAGATACTATTTTCTGATTTGCAAAGTAATTCTGTAAAGGGTATTACAGAGACATCTATGTGCTTTACACAACAGAATTCTACCATCCAATCTTGTATACAAAACAATTAAATTATCCTGGTATAATAGTTTAGGCATAAAAAAATAAAGAGCATGCCAAATAATTCGAATTCTAGAGCAGAATGCATTATAAATATTTACAAAAAATGATTGATATTCATTAGCATTCTAGAGTTACCAGAGAATTAATTTATTGACTTGTTATGCAATTAATTTTCCACAGTTAATATTAAATGTATTATAATAAATACAGACACTCTAAAGACTTTTCTGGATGTCTCCCCTGTTCTATATTCCATAGCTACAATGACAAAATGTATGTTCCTGTGGACCAAGTTTAGCCCTCATTTTACCTACTTTTAAAATCCTTCGTTTAAACAAGAGTGCATAAAACTCTCGGATACCTTCCCTTCATTTATATTATCTCAAGAGTCTTGATGTGTTTGGTGCTTAGTCTCATATCTATATTCCAGTTGCTTTGATGAAGCTACAATGTTTTTTACATAGGAAAGAAATAATCTTTAAGAGACAATAAAAGTAAATTGAACAATGCTTGGTACAGAGCACACTGTGCTTCAGAAGAAGGCCAAGTGCTTCCTTTACATTCCGGTTCCATTGTAAATTTCTCAAATTCTTCATCTTAAATTATCTTTCAATTTACAGTAAAGCTTGCAATATTTCTTCTAAGCAATTGTCAAAATCCTAAAAATAACACTCTGGAAAAAGATCTAAAATTTTGTACTGATAATTATTTCAGCCTTTTAATTTTTTACATTAAGAAAAGGAAACCACAGAGGGATCTATGGTTGCATAGAAAAAACCTGGTGATCTGACATCATTAATTTTATGGTCTCTCCCATCATCAGTGGATACAACTGATTAAGTTAAATCAACTGAAGTTTCAATACAGTGTGTCAGTTTTTAGTTCATGAGTGTGTAGTTCCCTGTCATCAAATCTTTCTTTCTAGAATGTTTTTCTTTTGTGTAACTGGTATCTAAATAATTCCACAATTGGTAATAATGAAAAAAAAAAAAAAAAAAAAAAAACACCATTTCACCTTAATTTTCTGCTGTTTCAAACACAGAAAATAATTATGATAATTATAACTCTAACAGTTATTTTAATTTCCTTTAAGTATACCAAGCGCTATTCTTAGAATTTTCTAATGTCTTGTATTCCTACCAAGATGCTATTTCAACTTTTTGCTAATGCAATTATTTACATCATAGGTTCTTGAGATATTAACTCGGAGCTTACTTCTAATTTTTGCTATCATAGATCAAGGAGTTTAGACTCATGAACTTAATTATGCACCTTTAAGTTTAATATAGGTGTGTTGAACAGAAATGTTCATATTTGTTGCTAGCATATATTTGGAACTAACATCCCAAGTTCTGAATTCCAAATATAATTTGTTGTTAATTTTATTTATTTATTTTAAAATTTGCATATATTTTATGCTGAAACAATGTCACATAGTCCTCTAAGGCGTTCCATAATCTATGCATCATAATTTGGTTAACTTACATTTATTTATTTATTTGTCTTAGCTAGAAATATGCTTTTAATGAAAAATTTAATTTCTCTGAAGAAGTGAGAGCAGAGAAACTGGAATTCTTCCTTGTTGTTTTCCCATCTGACTTCTTTGACCAGATCATCTTTTTTTGTGCCCAGAAATGTAGTCTGTTGCTATGTGCAGGAGAGGCAGACTTGTTTACCCAAGCTCACTGCACCGTTGTGCTTGCTTTTACTATTCTTGCTAATTCACTATGTTTAAAACACATAATGGATCAAGAGCAGTTTTAATCCACTCTGTTGCAGATTAGGTTTCCTGTCTCTGTGTTTTTGTAATTTAATTCTCCCACCCCTCTTTCCCTTTCTGCTCTTCTGCTCTCTATTTCACCTTGCATTTGGTCACCAGATTTGGTGACCTTGAATTCATTGCAGGCTATAGTTCCTATGGCTTAATAGAAGTACCTCTTTCAAGTAGCAGAATAAATTATTTTTTGAATGTTGGATCATTCTGAAATCCACTGTGGAATACCAAAACATTTTAGAGATATGTTTTTTTTATAGTGTTTTAAAGGTCAGTTGTACTTTTGTTGTTGTTGTTGTTTTTTTTTTTTTTTTTTTTTTTGCTCTACTTGTGAATGGACTGCTTTATATTCTCAATAATTTTAGATAATTCTATGTTCATGCTTGTTCTATTTTATATAATGTTTTTTTTTTAAAATGTTTCATTGTCTAAAGCATTTGTTTACTGATTGGTAGGCATTCTTGTTGCAGAGTAGATAGTTAAATTTATGAAAAATTGAGAAAATTCTGAGGAGAATTCCTTTTCTTCTTTAATATGTAGGGAACTTTTGGTTTGTGTGTTGTGGATATTTTATCTGCTTTCAACACACACACATATACCATACATACACAACATATATACATACAGAGATAACGATAGGGAGAAAGAAGAGAGCCTTTTATATTTATCATATATATATATATATATATATATATATATATCTTACATTTATCCCGTTGATTTATTTATAGGATGTAAAATGAATTTTCAGAGTGCAACATACTGATTTAAATGAAAATCTTGTAGTAAATTCTTATCCCTAAGTGTTATGGGAGTATATAATGAGGTTGATTTTGTAACTTTTTTTATATCTCTTGCATAATCAGAACTCTGTGCCTGCAGTAAATAGACACAAGAGTAAGGATTATTTTCCTATGCTGTCCCTGGAGCACTACATGGTTACAAGCCAAAAATCAATAAGATTCACAAATATAGTTGTTTTCTTGCCTATTTCTTATGCATTATGAGTCAATTCTGTAACTCCTTACAGAGGAAGGCCACTATTTGGTATTCATATTATAAAGTATTTAATGAAGATTCGTGGACTAGCAAATGACTAAATAAACTAGCATACATACCATGTTGCATGCTGCATATGGCAATGAGTTTGAAGACTAGAAAAGGGAAGTCACTGAGCTTTTCAGATGATCAGAATCAAACGAGAACACGTCAAAACAGCTCATGTTCTGTGACTCAGAATCAGTCAGTTGTGAGTCACCATGTACTTTATTTCTCTTTGAGTTACACTGGAGAGACTGAAACTAGCATATATCCTTCGCATTTGCTTAAATCCCTGCTTTATGATATTTAGTTTCACATTCTAACACCAACTTGACAGTAAGATCTATAGAGCTGGAAATTAGGTTTTGAAATGATGCTCTGTGTTTGTGTAGAGAATATCATATGACTAAATGCAATGCCCTAGAAAAAAGCATGGAAATGGTGTTGTGGAACAAATACAATTCTACAAGTAGCAGTTGCTACTATTATTGTAATTTTCTCAGTGTATGTATTATCATTTTGGGGAATTCAGTATTGTTAAGAACTGAATTCTTGTCATGATTACATGTCCTGGTTTCTGACATGAGCTCTTATCTTTGTTCTAGGTATCTGCTACACCATTCCTTGGCATCAGCTACTCAGTACTGCTGACCTCTTCCACTCAGTCTAGCACTCTACAAATTATCATCTCTGGACTCCCAGCTGACACTCTGCTGGAGGTAAAAGCTACGAAGCCAGCTAGAACTGTGCCTTTTCTCTTTTCAAGGTTCTTTTCTTACACAGCAAAAAGGAAGAAAAAAAAAAGATGAAGCTGGGCAAAGTAGAGCTGTGCCATTTTCTGCAGCTTATAGCTCTCTTCCTGTGCTTCTCTGGGATGAGTCAAGCTGAGTTGCCAAGGTCCAGATCCAAGCCGTATTTCCAGCCAGGGAAGTCCCGAACTAAGCGCAGCTGGGTGTGGAATCAATTCTTCGTGCTGGAGGAATATATGGGTTCAGATCCCCTCTATGTAGGCAAGGTATGGCATTTGGCATTTCAAAGTTTTAAAGGGTTATTGTCAATGTCTCTGATTGGATGAAGAGCTGCTAATATTTTATTTAGTGATAAAAGCACAAAATATTCCTCTTTGAAAGAGTTCATGATGTTTCTGTCACTAACTACTGTGTCAGGTGGAATAATGAAGTCGTAGCTTAAGGAGTGATGCTCTTGTCTTAAATATTAGAACACTGTCTTATTATAATTGGAAAATGTTTCTAAGCTCTTATTACCACAATTAGAACAAGATGACACACTGAAATATTAAGTAATATGCTTCTTCCACCAGTTGATTCCGAAAGCTTTTTGTCAGTTTATAATAATTGGACAAAACGAATTTATTATGGCATTTTCATACATGTATATAATGAATTATGATCATATTCCAAGCCACACCTAATAATCTCAAGAAATTCCTTTCTTCTGTCTTCTTAGGTAGTCCCCCATTAGTTTTACTGGCTTTTGTATGCTGTGTTTTTTTGTCTGCTACTTAAAAGAACATGATTTAGAAGTTGTAGAGTTATTTAGAGGTATATCCTCAACTTAAAAGTGCCTATGTCAAGGAAGAAAACATCTTCTCTTTTGTCAAAACATTACAGTGGATTCTCTAGAAGCTAGAGAATTATGTTCACACCCATACTTATCTTTTCCCATAGTTATCATTACAACAGATTACAACATAAAATTCTTTGACCATGTGGTTTCAATTATAAGCAGTTCAAATCCAATTTCTTAGTTACTTTCTCTTGATAGAACTGTCATTTTTATTTATTTATTTATTTATTTATTTTTTTTTTTTGCTTTTGAAAATGTTCTTTACATTAAATATGAACATGGGTAGAATTGAATTTGGGATGCTATTAGACAAATGACAAGCAGTTTATGGTGCATGTAGTTGTGGTTTTTGGCAGCCAAATTGAGAAAATATATATATATATATATATATATATATATATATATATATATGGATAGAAAATGTAACTTTGAGAACTCAGTGACCTAAAGATTATGTCAAATGATCATAGCCTCCTGCTCTACTTTCTTTAGTCCTTATTCCCAGGCTCTAGACTTTTCAAAGTATTAAGTCATCCTAAATTCCTCAGTGTGGCACTCAGTACTGCTAAGAGCTTTCTGAATAAGATAGATCACTAAGTAAAGTATACAGCAGTATATGTCCTTCCCTTCCATATAACTACTTTTACTGTATATTCCTCAGAAAATGTAGCTTAGTTTACTAAGACAATTGTTGAAAAATCAGGAATTTTTCATTTGAAAGATGAAGAAAGGGTATTAGATATTTTATAATGGTAATTTTGTTCACATTGTTAATGAATATATAGTTCAAAGTCATTTCTTAATATTTACAATTTCTTTGTAGTGTTTAGGATACTGATCGATTCTTTAGGGGAAACAGAAAGAGAGAAAGTGTTAATGTCAGGACTCAGTTTGGACCAGGGAATTGAATTTTCCTTAAGTAAAAAACTATATGTAAATATCAAAGAATTATATATTACAGTTGGAAAGTCCACAGATTTCTGGTTTCCATGGCTCTATACAAATGTGCCCAAATCTCTACAAATACTTACACATGCACATAAGTTAAATATAAAAATATCATTTAAAATATATTTAGATTAAGCAATAATCACTTTTTATACAAAAGAAACTGATAAATTATTCATCCTAAATGTACATAGAATTAAAGAAAATTCCCAATATTCCCACGATTGAGTTCTGTTTAGAATAACGAATAACAGTGTGCTTTTCCTGGGGTTAATTAATGCTATGTAGCATTTTTTATAATTTAAATTCTTTGCAGAGGCAATGGAGTCAAAAGGCCTTTCTTCTTCCTCTTGGAGTGTCACAGTGGATCTGTTTTCTTTACACAGAAGACCCATTCCCCACACAACACATGTCACTATGTCACTGGTGTAGTTTTTCAGCACACTTTTCCCCTCACATTGGTATTTGTCACTTAACGTGCCCTAACCTCCTGACCTAAAAAAAAAAAAAAAAAAAGGAAAAAAATCTGTCTAGATTCTACAAATCTATGAAGACTCTGTCCCAGGTGTTAAGTGGTTTTCATTTTTGCTAACTGTAATGGGCTACCAGCTGATGGCTGCACCCCAGGCCATTACTTTCACAGAAATATGTGCTTCCTGTAACTTCCACAGTCAGCTTCCCTCATTGCTAACATCACTCTTGCCTTTTTTATGCTTCTCCCCTTTTTTTTTCTTTACTCATTCAGGGAGAATTTATACCTAATACCTAGCAGAAATGAAATTCATAGAAATGCCATATTCCTGACTCGCTTTCCTTTAAATTGGCAGGGTGGGTAAGCATTCCTCGGTCATCTTCTTCAGAAACTTCAGTGTCTCCAAACATGATGACAGCACTCACTGCTACAGGAAAGAAAATTTCACTACAAAAATAAGTTGCATCCTTAAAAACAAAGCACACAAAAGGAGAATAACATCTTCATATTAAATAGATGTTATGTGAGCTGTAGAGTAAAAGAATATATTAAAAAGCCCCACAGACTTGCCTATAGGCCAAGGTGTCGGAAGCATTTTTAGGTTCCCTCTTCCCAGATCACCCTAGCCTGTGTCAGGTTGGTAGAATGTAACCACCACAGTCTTTAGTGGGGTATACCATATTATTCTATGATGTTTTCCTAATAGAATAGTTTAATGGCAAACTTCTCAGGATATATCCTTGCTCTGTTGTTAAAGGACACATAATTGGATGGATTTCTAACTTTCATGTATTTAAATAATAAACCAATATGCATATCAATAAAAAAGGAATCATCTTTAAAAAAAAAAGAATATGTTAAAAAGAAAACTGTCCTCTAATCAAACATGTTGTCTACAGTAAGATAAAAACTTAGTGAAATCACTGGTATATATTTTTTGTTTCTATTTCTTTTTCAGGAACACATAGCACATAGTTTCTATAGTATCTCTATAACCAGTTAGTTGGTGAAAATCTTACTCTTATTTTCTTAGCTTACTGAAGGAAGCCTGGAATTCCTGGTGATTTCAAAAGAATTTAGACATAGATTAGCTCTGTGAGATGCTAATGAATTCATGTTTTTAAAGAAACACTTCCAGGCAGCTATTTTTTAGCTCACAACAATCCAAGATCACGATAAGGAAATAGATGAATTTTCTCTACATGAAATCAATAATTGAAAATTTGTGTTTGGTAAGTTTTTTAAATGTTGGAAAGAGAATATATCTTAATGTCATAGTAAAATGAAGAAACACACAATTATTTAGGTGCATTTTGCCATCTTCATGCCTTAAATTTATAAATGAAAATGACAAATCCTATAGACTATTGGAGAACTATAAAATTAACAGTTGGAGGGTAGGGGAACTTTCAGGTATAGATTGGATTGTAGACAATCATATAGTTTTAGATGAAATTTCTCTATTCTGCCTCTGCTGCAAAATGACTCGGTGATTTTGCTCACTTTCATGTCTCTTTATGCTTATTGACATTCTGTTTGCCATGTATTTAGTAACAGAATTGGCAAAAATGAGGTATGTAGCACGTTATACACAAATTATATATATATATATATATATATATATATATATATATATATATATTTCCACTGAGGTTTTAAGTATAGAAGCCATGACATAAACAGAAATGTAGATTAGATCTTTTTGTAATGTGCACTATCATTATGTTTGCATGAACATCCATATGTCTTACATTGTTTAATATTTTACATACATTCTTTAAACCAAGGTAAAAAGAAATAAGTGACTTATCCTCCTAGGAATTGGACAACGCCTTTGAAAATTTTACTGGAGGATCTAATCAAGCAGGAAAACCAAGAAGCAGAAGCACAAATTAAAGCTGTCATGTTTCTTGTTATTTTGAGCAAGCCATTGAAACAATTTGGTTTAATTTCTTTATTGGTCAAGTGAAGATACATATTTAAAACATTCTAAGTTATTTTAAGCTTAGAAATGAATTGTAGACTACTGTTCCAAAGTTCAGTTACCCTAATATTAGTACCCTAAGTATGTATTATTAGGTCTGGAGAGATAGCTCAGCAGTTAAAGGCTAGGCTCACAACCAAACATTTAAGTACATATTGTAAACTAGGAAAGTGATATAGAACACAATTACTAGTCAAGTTGTTTTCTAATTTTGTCTTAATGAGTTTCTTTGTAAAAATCAAGAAGTATCATTAATTTCTTTTGTGCTATCTAATTATACTTTTCTAACCTGAGATAATTTGTGGCTTAAGGGCACTTTAGGGTTTGGACACCCATCAAAGTCTCAAGTTGTTGCCCCAAACCTGGGCCTCTCTGTGACATTTTTGTGGTTAAGTGTACTTTAGGTTTGTGCTGTTTCAGTTTTTGTATTTGTGTATGTTTATATGTATGTGTCAATATGGGTGCACATACAGGTCAAAAGTATATGTCAATGCCATCCTTTTTGTTCACTTCAATAATTTAGGACATTTTCCATTCCTGAAACTGAAGCTCATCAATTTGGCTAGTAATGCTTGCTGATGAGCTTCAGGAATTCTTTTGCCTCTTTTTGTCCATCTTGTCCAAGTATTACAGTCTAGTGCCACCATATATGAATTTGCAAGGGGTTATGGGGATTCAAACTAATGCCCTTTTTTAAAAATAGCTAACACTATACAGGCTAAGCCATCTATTTAGCCCCTGCTGTAATTCATATATGCATATAGCTTTAAAGTTAAAATATATTTTCATACAATTTTTTTTATCAATTTCTCTCCCCAAAATACTCCCAGAGCAATTCTATCTCCCCACTCATACAACACCATTCCTTCATTCTCCCTTTATAGAACCAAAAAAGGAAAGCAAACAAAGAAAATTAAAAAAAAATTAGACACAAGAAGTAATACTCATACACACACACACACACACACACACACACACACAGAGAGAGAGAGAGAGAGAGAGAGAGAGAGAGAGAGAGATAAAG